CAATAAAACTTTGTGTACACATAAAAAATATTAAATCTTGATTTAAATTCTAGCGAAAAAAAATAAATAAAAAGTCGTTCATTCAAATATCTTCTATACAAGTGTAACTGATAATATTCTTGCAGTATTCGGTATAAATTGATTTAATGACAAATTTCTCATCGATAAATCCTATCGTATCGATAAATTACAGATGCCGTTTTGAAGAGCAAAAATCTGATTTAATTAATTTTTTTCCCATGAAAGCCTTTTATAGTCTGAGCTTTGAAAATGTAGCATAGGAATCCGTATGATGTGTAATTGATATGTGGTTAAATTATGTGAAAAGATTTAGAGAGCCGGTAAAATAATGGATCTTGTTAGCTAACCTTCATTATATAATTGTACGCATTTGCAATATGAATTTTTCAATCATTAGAGCAGTTCGTTATTAAATTAATATAATTGTACCACTTTTTCAAAACTTTTCTACACGATTTAACAGTACAAAACAATTTTTAATAATCTCAATTTAATTCATTTTCTGAGCGTATTATGTTTAAAACTTAATAAATTTTGTTTCGACTATTTTTTGCCGCTTATCCGTTGTTTATACATATAATGAAGAGTTCGAAAACTTCAAAAAATGCCAAGCATCGCACATAATAACTTAAAATTGTTGGCATAGATGCGATGATACGCAAAAGCATATTTCTGTAATAATAGTATATGCGTACTAATAGCGATTTGCAGAGATGTCGTCTCTCATAATAGATGAAACGGACGACTATAAATAGCCATTACTTATTAATTACAAAATACCCGAATAATCGCCCGATTTGACCATCATCGTACTCGGGAGAGATTATTAATACCAAATTCGTATGGTTTATTAGAAATTTATGACTGCGTCGCAGTCATAATTTGCCGTTATTTCGCAATTATCACCACAAAGCAGTTATAATTTCCCAAAGTCTCCTATCGTAAAACATCGGCGAATGAAATTGAAAGCTATTTAATCCTTTCCAATGGCGAATGTATTTACGCACTCCCCTGAGATTAAAGGTAATGGTAACATATAAGCAAGCAACAGCTATATACGCGCAAAAGTATAATAAATAGGAGTGGAGTAAAAATATCTCGTCTCTGAATCGAAATTATTTTTGAGACTATTTTTGGATGCTGAAAAATTGGCTATCATGCGCGATAGAGTATAGTCGGATAGTGTATTATTTTTAGTAACATCGAATCTACCATACTTGCATCAGCGCAACACAGGTCGCTTTTGAAACGAAAAACGTTCACAAAGGTATTTTGTAAGCGAATTATTTTTAAATACGTCCCTGAATTGGATTGACGTTTTACTTTTCCTTCATTTTACATTAAAAACTAGCATATTTCTTTATAAAATAAAGAATTTATTATTTCTTTACTGTAGAAATTATCTGCTTGTGTAGACTGGCTTATAACAAGTAAACGGATAAATTTACATATTTTTTGTAATAAAAATGTCCTCGTGCCTTAAGCATTAAAGAAAATCAAATTCTCCCAGTAGCGACTTTTTCCTTGGCAAGCTCGGTGATAATCACAGGATCCTTCATGAACGTAGCTGCTTCTTTATGAAATGTATCCTTAAAAAGTGGATCGGCCTCCACTTTTTCTGCTCTTGAAGAAGATATATCCTGTAAAGCGCGAGCGTCTATTAATTTTCAGACGGCAATGACACGATCCTTAGCTGCGCGCTAACGCGATTATGACTTTCTGGATAATCAGAGTTTCTCGAGGGAAGGACATACAAGGATGCCCACACCAGTCCCGCGTCGGAAACTTGCTCCAAACTTTGCCGTAGTCGAACAGGTTATCGTCAAGATACGTGGTTTTTAAAGATAAGTCCTCTTCTTGTTTCCTTGCGCGCTCGTAGATTTTTGGGACGAGCCAATTTGGCTTTGTTTCATTTTTCATTTAGTTCCCCTACCGCCTCTTATTTTCCTGCCACGAACTCATTTTTCACTTAACCCGTCGCCCGATCTATATCCGATCCGAGGCAAGGCGATTTTCACCAGCAAACGCGGGTTGTTCTCGCTTTTTTCATAGATCACGTAGGTTAGCCTGTCGAACGCCCCTAAATAATAGCGGAGTTAATTCTCTCGAGAAAAGATGGTACACGAACGATATATGAGCCACTATTGAAATTGTATGATTTTCATTATTCTAGACAAAATTGTGGAATTTTATATGATTTTAGACACAATTGCAGAATTCTTCATTATTTCCAAGAAAAATAATTCTAAAAATTCTAGACTTGCTGATGCAATTCGTACCTCATAATTTTTACATTTATAAAACATTATATCCACACTTTTCCTATTTCTCTTCCCTTTTTTTAAATGCATTACATAAAACACATATTTTTGGGTGTAATAATATTCGTAAGTAACATTTATTAAAAATTTTTGCGTTTAATATTTCTAAATGTACCGAGAGATCCAATTCATCGGAGCAATTCAAGCGAAATCAGTGAATAGCGATTTGTCGTTAAAATCGACATGCTTTATATAAGGCTTGTTGCAAAGCAGTCATAAATTCAACGGACATCGCAAATGTGCGTGCAATGTACGGCAGGAAATGTAACGCTACTGCAGTCGCATCCTCAAACGTGGATGCCTTTGATACCTTTGCCCTACTGTGACAGTAATCAGGGAAACGCACCAAATCTCGCTATCCAATAGGAGATATCGGAGAACAATGCTCTCAACATCACAGCGATAAAGGCCGATTCAATTATCGTACTGAAGACCTCAGCTCGTTGCACTCCGCATACTACTTTTGTGCTTCGCGATCCGGTTTATTTCTTAGATTGGCCACGGGCTATTGTCTCGATCGAATAAGCGGAAAATGTGTGCGACGACAGGGTGTCACTATTGATTGGATGTCGAAATTAGTTGAGCCCCGGAATCATGGCGGGCGAATGCGCGCGCGACAATATTTCGCCGTAATCAAGTGCTAAAGTTAGTTAATTATGTGTAAAATAAAGATTTAATACTCTAGGAATTTATTTAGTACGGTAGAATGTTATTTTGCAATCTGAGTTTTCACAGTTTTTTTTTAATCCAAAGCGCGTACTGGTTATCGTATTAATTATAAATTTCTTTTATTTTATTACTGCAGTTTCTATCGTAGTTGAAATGTAGGAAAACAACTAATTATGAAATTGTATAATAACAAATATTAGAGAATTTTAAGAATTAAGAACCGATATATATATAAATGATAATTTTTCGTTTGACAAATTTGATAAATGGAGTTCAGTAAAAGTTCAAAATTTTAAATTTAAACGTTCGATATTCAAAGTCAAAATTATGACTAGTGATGGTTTCTCATTAAGTTTCGACTGTAGAAATTGATTTCGAATTCATCAATTATTCATTAAATATGCCAATTAATTAAATAATAGTCAGACATCATCCGATGTTCCAAAAGTAGCATCTACTAGTTTTTGCAACTTCAATGAATGAATTATAAATGTACTCAATAAATATAACTCTGCAAGCTATAAATAAGTTATTTCGTGGGCAAACTCTTGCTAAAGGATAAAGTTAAATCATTCTTTGCAAGGACATCGAGAAGCAAAACAGCGCGTTGAAGTAATTCCTCAATTGTCACAAAGCCGAAGAGTTTCTTAACTTTTCATTGTGACTTTTTAACTGGAAAAATTTTTTCTCATCTCTTAATCTTTAAACGACAAATTCTTAAATTTACAAATTTGGAATTAAATGGTTACATAAACATTTACATTTTTATGTAAAAAATATTCGAATTTTTTGTATATCTTTTTAATATCTATCAGAATTTTTTGCATATTTTTGTCAAGATTAAATTTTGCTGTTTACTTTTTTTAATTTTTCTTTTGTTGTCCGGATGTTTTACTAGGCTTTTTGTTGTCAAAAGATTTTCATTGTTGCATTCATCGTGGCGTCATTACTCACTTCGTCTGTTATTCACCTTTCAACAAGCTGTACAAAAGCAGCGATACCAATCGAACAAAAATTAAAAAGTTTCTCAGGAAGTTAATATCAACGCTGCGCCTCTTGCCTCAAAATATAAAAGCGGTGCTCATCGATCAACAAAACGACATACAAACTTTTTCGGAACCTCGAAAGATCTCGATAACAGCGACGTGGCACGAATGGCCAAAGGCGAAGTACAAAGTCGATAATGCATTGTGATCCAAAACGAGCTATGGCTTGAAATGCTAACGACACCACAATAATGCGAAAATACCAATACTCATTTTTCGATAAGATATATAGCATTAACATTTCCATCGTCATACGGATATTGGCTTAAGTACCAGTTAATTGACTAATATTAATATCCAATATCCTTCAACTTCGTGTATAATTCTAAATGACGGGAGTGAGATTAGTCAATAGAGAGATAGCTCAGAATATCGAAAACTTTTTAATATTTCTGATTAAAAATGAATTTTGTATTTAATTAATCTCTGAATCGATATATAGATTCTGAAGTTTGAATTAAATATATGTTGAAATTAATTTTGCAAAAGTTGTCTCTCAATTTAGATTTTCTATACATGCAACAAGAAAAAACTATTCTAAATGTTTATATTACACTAATTTTACTGATTACTTATCATCGCGTGTCGGCAATCACATTTAAGTATTCATTATAAACATTGCGCTAGCTTCTGTTTATTTCGCGGTGACGTGATTGCCTTCTTCGCTCGTCCTGGTTCGAGGGCCGATGCAAATTATCGAAGCTTTTTATCCTTTGAAGCGGCACACACCCACGCGGTGGTGTCCTGCCGCCTTTGCGATTAAATCAAGCCCGGCCGTGCCTCCTCCGGTTTCTCCATCTCGCTTCCTCCAAAGTCGCTTCGCCGCGGCCGCCCGTTCGCGCTCGCGCCCGCGGCGAGCTTGCGCGCCTCGTCCTGCATCCGGAGGTCTCCTCCACGGAGGAGTACCATCAGGATCTCGATCAGTTTACCGGCGTCCCTCAGTCCGTACGGTCGCGTCCAGTTTCCGCGTCCGGTCCGTTGAATCACGTGCGTCCATGACGAAGGGTGAGATAGAATAAGGAACAGACGATGTCGGCATTATTGTCCCTCGAGCGTGTCACTACGGGATCATCATCGAATCGTCCTCGAGATGTGTGAAAGTCCACCAGGATTACCGCTGCAGGTTTGCGAATCTCTTCATTTAAACTGATCGCGATGGAACTTGTCGGTATTGGAAGTAAAAAATTAATCTACATGAGCGCGCTTTCATATTTTCGCGTCCTCAAAATTAACAGACTCGTTAATCTTTTCATTGTGATATAAAAAAGTATAAGAAATTAGGCATAACTTTTTTTAAATGTGAGATTTGCAGTTTTTTGCGAATTTTGTTATAAGATTCTCATCGTACCATTCTGTTTTTGATCATTACAATTGATATTTTTATCTTTTGATAATTTGATATATTTTATTATAATAAAAGCTTTTTTTTATTATGCAATGCTATATTTAACGCCTAATTCTTTATAATTTTTTACTTTGCAATTTCGACATAAAGAATTTCACACTTACAGACATCCTACAAAATTAGTGTTGCAGATGTGGAAAGTACAACTGCCGCTTGTTTTTGTATTTTCATATAACGGCAAAAAATTTCACATCTTTGAGTGAATTTTCGGTAATTTGCGTTGCAAATGGAAAAATTTAAATTTGATAGTAAGTCGCTTTTGACGAGCAACTGTCAACTGAAAATTTTCACGTCTTTGAACAGCTCATGAAACGTGCAAAACTTTTGAAGGGTTAGGCATCGTAGCTTCGCGAATTTTCATTCGGATCAGCTGCAGTGATGTTTGATCTCATCCCGTGAGAAAGGCACTTTTCATGCGAGCGGCATCAAGACTTTTGCTTCACGGAGCAGCCCTTTGGGATCGACGCGTTGCGGGTTGGCGAATTTTAATTCCGGTCAGTTACACGGAGTGCCTCAGTTTGCCCTTGCAACTAGAGGAAGTTACTTTTGAAGTGAAACATGCATCGAAGTATTTGCATATCCATATAACTTTCAAATAGTAATAACATATTCGAAAATTTTATTTTAAACCAATAGCACCGGTGTTCGCGTAAAAATTATTCTTTTTTACACGCAATAAAGTACTTCTATTACGTAAAGTACATTTACAAAAACCTTTCAACATTTATCCATTTCCGATTCGAAATTATAATTGACACTGCTCTCGAAATGATTTTATTCTTATTATCAAGGAAGAAGTCACTTTTAGTACAAGATGAAAGATTCTACATCTTTGAACAGTCTGCAAAGTTAGAAGATTGATGTAATAAGTTTGCATATTTTATGTTACATCGATCGCGGTGACGTTTGTTCCTATTGAGACGGATAGATAGAGAGATTGGGGGAGAGGGAGAGTTACTCGGAATTATAATGAACTTTTGATAGAAGCCTTCGTGTCAATGTATCCGGCAAAAAGATATTCACCCCAGTTTGCAAGAACCAGATATACTTAATTTACGGCCGAGAACGTATATTACTTCGCAATGATTAATGCAAATCAAATGCGGCTATCGATTCGTTGATATGTGAATGAGCGAGAGAGAGAGAGAGAGAGAGAGAGAGAGAGAGAGAGAGAGAGAGAGAGAGAGAGAGAGAGAGAGAGAGAGAGAGAGAGAGAGAGAGAGAGAGAGAGAGAGAGAGAGAGAGAGAGAGAGAGAGAG